CAATAAGCATTTAACCATAGTTACAAAGTATTCTTTCAAAAGAATTTTTCTTAGATTTAGTTATTTCCATTTTATGTGTACAAGACTTTTGCCTACATGTACATGTACATTATGTGTGTGCCTGGTGCTTGTGGAGGCTAGAAGAAGGCAGTGAATCCTCTAAAACTGGAGTTACTGACAGTTGTGAGCCACTGGGTGGGTGCTGGGAACCAAACCTGGGTCCTCTGTAAGAGAAGCAAATCTTAACTGCTGAGCCATCTCTCCAGCCCCATTCAAAAGACTTTAAAGCATAAACAAACATGTAAAAGTGTTTCTTCTAAGCAATGAAAACCTATTATATAGAAAGAAACAAGAAATTATCTTGATAAAATGTAAAATCTGGGCTACAGAGATGGCTGAGTGGTCAAGAGCACTGGCTGCTCTTGCAGAGGATCTTAATTCAAATCCCCAAACCCACATGGTGGCTAACAACTGTCTGTAACTCCTGATCTAACACCCTCTTCTGGCCTCTCTGGGCATTGTATGGCATGGGTGCACTTACACACATACAGGCAATAAACTCATATACATTAAATAAATTAAAATTTTTAAAAAAGTAAAATTATTTCTTTAAGTTGTTTTTGTAATAAAACAGATAAATATTTGAGGAAAGTCTTATTGTTTTAGGCATAAAGAATTAGGTTCTAATTTTATATCAGTGTATAAAATTTTGACCTTAGGATTTTTTCATAGAACCTTTAATTATAGCCAACTTAATCATCACACACTAATTAGTTTTATAATTTTTATCCTCTACAAACCTTTCATGATGTAGTTTAACCTTCTGGTTTTTAGAACAAAGCCATATAATTAGAAAAATTATTTTTTACATTTACTGAGAGAGAGAGAGAGAGAGAGAGAGAGAGAGAGAGAGAGAGAGAAAGAGAGAGAATGTATGTGTGTTCCATAGCATGTGTGGAGGTCAGAGAACAACTTGTGGGAGTGCGTCTTCTTCTATCTTGTGGGTTCAGGCTTGGTGGCAAGTGCTTTTACCCATGGAGCCATCATACTGCTCTTAATTTATGTTTTTTATTAGCATAAAAATATTAGACTTAATTATGTAATTGTTTAAACAAATTTATTTTTCCTATTTCTCTTCTGGTCTTTAGTCCCCGTTCCCCACCTTGCAGCTTTCTCCTTTCATGTCACAGCTGTCTTCTCCTTTCCCCCTTCCTCAGCTTTGGCAAAGCCTATTTTATCATACAAAATCCTTTCTCATTCAGAAGGATTTCCTTTACATTTTTATTTTTTATTTTTTTCTTTCTTTTTTTTAAAAAAATAATTTATTTTTACATTTTTAAATTTTTAATGACTACATGATTATTAATACAGTTATACAATACTGAACTCAGTATAAGCCCTGTAATTCACAAAATTGAATGAGTTTTTAACCTTTGAAAAAGATCTCCATTTTGTTTTAGAATATATTGTTCCTTGCAGAAAGACTTGTTTTTACTACTAACACTGAGATGTTGGCGCATGCATCTCTAATCTGTATGTACCTGATTATTACTAGTCATAATCGGTTGCACTTGGATCCTTGGGTCCTGTGTGTGTCTATGAAGTCATCAGGCGGATTTCAGTGGTATTGTTTATCACCTCTACTAATTGCATGATGTAAATTTCCATGCTTCCTCCTAAAATATAATACATTTAAAAAAATGTTGATTTTTTTTGTGTGTGTGTATCACACAGAACATCCCAAACCATCTCACTTGACTATACATCCACTTCCCAGGTAGCACCCTCCCATAGCCTCCCTCCCCCAACTAGAGCCCTTATACTCTGATATCCCTGCTACTGTCTGCTGTGTTGACGGCACCCCCAGCCATTCCCCACTACTTGCCCTTCTGGTGAATCTAGTCAGCCTATCTAGAGGTCTTTGTATTAGGAGGGTCAGCTGTTCCTCATCTAGCAGTAATTATTTGTCAATATTCCTTTGGATAAGATTGGGGTCTGCTGTTCATTTTCCCATCTCTATATTCGGTTACTATCTGGGAGTCCCTTTGGCCACCCTGGCCAACAACACAAAAGAAGGTATTGCCTGTCTGGCATTGCTGCTTGTTATATAGCCTTTAGCTATGCATATGGACTCTTAAGAAATTTTATTGGCCCCTTTAATCTTTGCTTAAACTTTCCTTTTGGGTGTTTAAGGCCATACAATTGGCCCAGATAAACCAATTTATT